AATAGACCTGCCGTAAAGATATTGGTGGAAACGCCTCACCCCAAATATTATTGCCGTCGCCTCCTTTTGGATTTGTGAGTATCGACGCTCAGCTGCATTCAACGTACGCGATGCGAACGAGATCGGACGCTCCAACCCGTCGGCGCAGTCTACCTGTGATAACACCGCGCCTAGACCGCTTGGTGACGCATCCACTGTCAAAATTATTTTAGCGTCGATATTAAAGTGAGCTAACACCTGATCGGAAACCAATAACTTTTTAATAGTATCGAATGCAGTGTCATGGATGGAATCCCAATGCCATTTAAATTTTTTTTGTAGTAAACTATACAAAGGACTCAAAACTGAAGACGCGTTAGGCACAAAGTTGCGATAATAATTAACAAGACCAAGAAAGGACTGTAATTTACCAACATTTTTAGGAACCGGGGCATTTAAAATAGCTGACACTTTCTGGGGTGACTTTTTCAACCCGTGCTTATCTACTACGTATCCTAAGTATTCCACCGTATCTACGAAGAAATGACACTTTGATTTTTGTACCGTGAGACCAGCGTTCTGCAAACGCCGTAGTACTTCATGCAATCTTTGTAAATGTAGCTCTCTGCTGACCCCTGTCACCAAAATATCATCAAACATACATAACACTCCATCCATGCCAGACAAGACGCATTCCATCACCTGCTGAAATATAGCTGGGGCACTGGCTAATCCAAACACTAAACGAGTGTATTTAAATAAGCCTTTATGTGTGTTAATGCATGTTATTTTTTGCGATTCTTCATCTAAAACACACTGCGAATAAGCCTGTGATAAGTCTATTTTGCTAAATTGTTGACCGCCGTGTAATTTAGTAAACAACTCGTGCGCGGTAGGTAAAGGATACTGATCTATCAACAGTTGTTTATTTATCGTAACCGAGTAGTCCACACACAAACGAATCGATCCGTCGCGTTTCAAGACTGGCACTATAGGTGACGCATACTCGGAATAATCAACCGGTTTTAAAATTCCTGCACACACTAAGCGATCTAACTCCTTATCGACTTTGTCTCTCAGTGCGAAAGCTATAGGTCGCGGTTTAAAAAATATAGGCTTAGCGTCACTTTTTAAATTTAATTTAATTTTATACTTATTGAATGTACCTAGTTTATCGGAAAATACACTAGCATATTGCATTTGTAACTGTTCAGTTATGTTTGAGGACTGTAAACAATAATTCACTGGCAGAATTTCCAATTCATATAAAGATATGAAATCCCTACCCAAAAGTGGTGGACCGCCGTTTCGTATTACATACACATCTAGCGTATGCGTTTTGTTCGAATATGTGAACGGCAACCGTGCAACTCCTATACATTCAATATTATAGCCAGTATAAGAAAGAAGCCGTCTATTTGTTTTGAGCAACGACACCTCACTAAATAATCTTAAATAAGTTTTTTCGGAAATAGCAGTGACAGCTGACCCGGTGTCGACCTGAAACTTTAATCGCACTCCCCGGACGTATACAACGTCCCACATAGGCTCACCGTTAATTGAACGAATGTTATAAAACTCACCGTCATCATCGCCGTTATCATCCACCCTCTCGTTTCCCACATAATTTACTTTTTTACACATGCGTCGCAAATGGCCTTTTACATTACATTTTTTGCATTTATAGTTAGCGAATTTACATTGAGACGAGGTATGATTCTTAAACCCGCAAACCGTGCACAACACTCTATGGGCCGTGACATTGTTATCAGCGATCTTAAACAGCTGATCACTGCGTGGTATCGTCGTCACTACCGACGCCGCCGCAGCGGCTACGCGTGCGCAGCGCACTCCTTCTGCTAGCGAGACTGCTTCTACCAGCGACAAAGAATTTGGATCCCGAGCAAACAGCTTCTCCCGCTCCGCTCCCGGCAGCATTCCCATCACAAAACGGTCCCGTAATGCTTCCTCCACGTTTAGAAATCCACAATTCGCGGTCAAACCGCGTAGTCTTGCCGCCCATTGAGGGTAAGTTTCTCCGTCCGATTGTACTGCGGAATAAAACTTGTACCTCTCGCTGAAGCCACATACTTGGGGTATAAGATGATTATCTAAAAGTTTTAATATATCCTCGTAAGGCACTACTTGGAGATCTTTGGGCAACGCCAAATCCGCTACTAGCTTGTATGTCGGTTCGCTGAGTGCACTTAACAAAATCGCCCGTCGCTTGACGCCCGCGGAATCTGAGGTCGCAGAGACATCGTTCGCGATGAACCACTGCGCCAATCGTCCCTTGTACTCGCGCCACGATTGCAAATTGTGATCGAAACTCGATAATAACCCGAAAAAAACCCTGCGACATGATTTTCGGTTTTTACTAGGAACTTATTTTATTTTTTTGAAAAAATAAAAGTGGGTAAATACTCGTCGCCACTGTTACGTATGTGGGAACAAGTGAAACGCGTGCAGGTTGAGTGCGTACTGCCGTTTATTCGCATAAACAATAGTGTGCGCAGACACTATAGACACATAGATATATATATATATAACAGAAGGGGACTTTCTAAGTGGTGCCAGAAAAAAGTTATAGGCTCCGAAATTTTAGTCAGACAAGGAAATTAGGAAGGCTTCAAGGAAATTGTTTCTATTGCAAGGAAATTAGGACTATGTCGTGGAAATTAGAAAAATGCCATTTCTAGTATGCATGTAATCAAAAACAAAAAAGAAACAACGTAATCATGATTCACATTATAAAAATCTACAAAGTAATCACACAAACAAAATAATATAATTAAAGGCTTATTCATAGTTTCAGGTAACAAAGTAAATACTGTGGGATATAGGGTTCTTCAAATAAGGTTTACACCGTCTTCTTAGTAAAATAATATTTTTATTGCTTAGCACCATTGACCGTCGTACATGTTAATCCTCCATCTTGCTTTTTCACATGCCTTCCCCTCCTTCCGGCATCTCTCTCCCTCTCACTCACACATCACACTCTCTCTCTCTTACAGCTGCGTTCCTATTCCCACATTCGGCCATCCGACATCCATGTCTGTCCTCAGACATGCTAGACTGACTCTCATTCCTTATTACATTCTCACTCATTCATCAAACAACTTAAATATTTTAATCACAAATATTAACAACAAAATGAATAAAATTCTTGTCTTACACAGTTCTTAACTAAAGGTCTTATGCGAATACAATGCAAAGGTTAACTTCTACACATGTTATAAACTTAAGCACTATTTAATAACAAAACATTAGTAAATCAGCTTACAATACTAACCGACTTATGAGATTAAACTACAGTTTACATTTACCAACAGATGAAATGAGTTTCTCATTAACACAGAAAACTTAAATGAAACAAATAAAACAAAAAAAAAATTGAATATCCACATTCAGTCTTACATCTTTATCTCACTACAAATCAAAACACACTTACTCAATTTCTCCATCCTTGTCAGGCCACCTCTTCATCCCATCAGCTGAGCAAGTAGTCTTTATGGGACCTTCAGATGTGACATCATCCTTTACGACATCATAGCGGTCCTTTCGTTTCACCTTGGTAATCTTATATGGTCCTAAGTACTTCGGCTTTAGTTTGAGTCCTGAGCCAAATTGTGTCCTTTGTATTGCTACTCGTTCACCCACTTTATACTTAGTACTTTCCTTTCTTTTACTTTTATAAGTACTAGTGTTTTCTTCCTGGATTTTTAATATTTGTTCTTTAGCCCTTTTTCTTAATACTTCTCTTTCCTCACTGAATTGTTCTAGACTTTCTTGCTGTAATAAACTAATTAAAGGTATATCTTCTTTGGATTTCATCTTGACACCTATCAATAGCTCAAAGGGACTAGTGTTAATGCTCCTTTGGAAAGTGCTGTTTATTGCCCGTTGCAATCGGCTTACATGTTTGTACCAAACTGATGGATCTTCTGCACATAACTTCGTAAGAGTTGGTTTAATGATTCCATGTACCCTTTCCACCTGGCCATTTCCTCGTGGCACTCCTGTTGTTATCATTATGTGTTGTATCTTCTCACTCTCACAATATTCTTCAAACTCATGACTAGTAAAAGCAGTACCGCGATCGGTGACAATCCTTTCTGGGTTCCCAAATGTCTGTTGGTATATTTTAAGCTTATCTAGTGTTTCACTACTGGTGGTGCTCTTTGTAGGGAAAAGCCACACGAATTTGGTAAAGGCATCTACTATTGTAAGAATGTGATTATACTTCTTTCTAGTCTCAGTCATTGGTCCGATGTGATCCATGTGAAGGGTATGCAGGGGGCTTGCTATAAAGTCATCAATTTTCTTATCTATGTCTTTGATGTAAAAATCTTTAACAATAAGTTCCTTCATATTTCCCTTACCAAAATGACCATTGGCATGCACTCTTCGTATGACTTCCTTTTCCATGCTTCTAGGTATTACTAGCTGCTTCTGGTCACTCTTGTATAGAATATTGTTTTCCAACCAATAGTCTAAATAGGGGTTTTCTTTTAGAATTTCAATCATTGCTTTCAGTCCTTCATCCTGGGTTTGGGCTTCCTTAACTTGGTCATGAAGGCTTGCTACCATGACTGAAATATAAGGGTGTCTGCTCAATGCGTCTACATGCCTCATCCTTGATCCTTTTCTATGCTCAACTTCAAAGTCATATTGATCTAAAAACAACACCCATCTCGCAACCTTAGATGATAAATCTTTTTTCTTCAATGTTAGTGCAAAGGCTTGACAATCTGTGATAATCTTAAAATGTATGCCGAACAAGTAATGACGAAATTTCTTAACAGCTTCTATTATAGCTAGAGCCTCCAGTTCATAGCTAGGGTACCTTTGTTCAGCATCATTTGTCTTTCTACTCATATACTGGACTGGATGTAAACCACTATCCGGATGCTGCTGTAACAGTATTGCTGAATATGCAATGCTAGATGCATCTGTATGTACTTCCGTGGGCAGCTTAGGATTATATATCTTCAACACTGGACCACACGCCAGCTTCTGTTTCAAAATGTTAAAAGCATTACGTTGATCTTCTTCTAAAATAAAAATAGCATTTTTTTTTAATAAGTCTGTTAAGGGTTTCGCTATTGCAGCATAATTCTTTATATATTTTCTGAAGTAAGAGGTAAGTCCTATGAAACTGTGTACCTGCTTAGTTGTTCTTGGTTCCGGGTATCTCATCACAGCATCTGTCTTTTCCAAACTCGGGCTAATTTCACCATTTTGTATGCGATGACCCAGATATTCAATTTCACTGCATATCAAGTTTGCCTTCTTCCAATTTATCTCTAGTCCATATTCTGAAGCAACTGATAAAACTTCTTTCAATCTTTGCACTCCTTGTACCTCGTCTTTAGCTGGAATGATAATGTCATCGATAAAAACTAACATTATGCCCTTGTTGATTAAATCCCTAAAAATTGTTGATACAAATCTCATAAAATACTTAGGGCAGTTTGACAACCCAAAAGGTGCACGCGTAAATTCAAATTGACCATGATGGGTCACAAATGAGGTGTTTGATTGATTTGATTCTTCACTGACCTTCAAATGAAAAAAAACCATTTTTCAAATCAATAACACTGAATACTTTAGAGTCTCGCAGTTTATCAATTAAATCTTCAATGACAGGTAGTGGATACTCGTCCTTTATCATCTTCTTGTTGAGTTGTCTGTAGTCTACACAGACCCTTGTAGAACCATCTTTCTTCCTAACTAACACTAAAGGACTAGCATATTCTGAGAAACTTACCCGCACTATATTCTTTTCCAACCATTCCGTTACCTGGTCTTCAACTATTTGCTGTTCCTTCAGTGACAATCTTCTAGGTTTTTGAGCTACTGGGATGTCATCCTTCAAGATAATTTTAAGTTGTATGGGTGCTTCTTTTACTTGGACCTGCTTGTAGTCATCTACACGTTGTAAAACCTCCTTTCTGACAGTTGGGCTGACTGTGGAACCTACAACAACACTCGAACCTACAGTAAAACAATCCATTTGTCTCATCCACTCTTCACCTGAGGGTAACAACAACACACTTCCTCCATTCATAATCATTATCACACTAGCGAGAAACTCATGACCTAATATTAAACGATAAGGCATACAGTCTTTAGGCACAACATGGAATGTAACTTCGTCGTAACGACGTCCGTCAATCACAGCACAGGTTGTAAACTCTCCGTATGAACGCACTGGTTTCAGTCCGAGACCCGACAATACAATACCATCTTCAGTTGTCTTTGGCTGGCCGATCACCTCATAGAAGTCTTGCGACATTAAGTTTACATCGCTTCCCGAGTCAACGAGCGCCATTTCTTCGGTATTTTCAACACAAATACTCAAAACCGGCTTCTTATTAGGTTTGTTGACGATCTGCAAAACATCTTTATTTTTTTGACAGTGATAGCTGTCATTTTCGTCATCGCTGTCAGTGGTGCCAACGTAATCCGTAGTGAACATGGCGGACTTCGAAGTGCTGGGATTCGTCGGATTTCCGCCCGAACGACGTCCTTCATGTTGGCAGCGCTGTCGGTCGTCCCCGCCGCTGATTGGTCGACTCGATCGGCTGCCGAAGCTCTCCGAAGGCTTCCGATCGTCTTCGCGTTTCGTCGTCGCCGTGCACATTGATGAAATATGGCCGAACTCATTGCACTTGAAACACTTGAGACCCTTTTTCTTATGAGGACAGCTTTGCGATGAATGATTTAGTTCTCCACAATTATAACACCGCATTTCACTGCTTGAATACTTCTTTGCATTTCGATTATAGCCATCACTTCCCTGATAACGTTGCGTGTCACGTCGCGCCCTCATTTTTTCTTTAACTTGTTCATAAATTTTCAGCTTCTCCTTCAGTTCACTATAGCTTGTAACACCGTATAATAGCATTTTATTAGTTTCTAAGTCTTGGATGCCGTCTACAATGTACTTGATCGCAACATAATCGGGAATCTTACCCCTTTTGCCGAGCTCTTTCATAATAAGCAAGTAATCCATGTAGCCTTCATCAGATTTTTTCTTACGTGCACTCATCATCTCATGAATCGTCTTCTGGTCAATCGCGTCGGGAAACTCTTTGCTGATGGCTTGTTTCAAATCGGCCCATGATTTGAACGGTCTTTCGCTTCTTAGCCATAGCCCTGCCGTCCCTGTCAACGACCTACGCGCAATCACAAGCTGTTGGAGCGGCGTCCATTCGAATATTTCCGTATTATCTTCAATATCTTGAATCCAGCGGCCCACTGAGTAGGTATGGTCTTGACCCGAAAAATTACTTATAAAGTCTTCAGCATATTGTACACCTCTTAGTGACACATCCTCCGTAGTTTTCGGCATCTTTACCGGCTCAACTTTCCTTTTCCGTACATCGAGTTTGGGCTTGAAATTTTTTTTCCACAAAGGTTACACTATTATAAGCACTCACGTAAATTTTTCAACACGCGGAGACGCATATTTTTTAAGCAAAAAAATATTGAAAATCAATTATTATTGCGATGCTTCTGACAAAATTGTAGTTTTTATGACAATCTTTACCAAAGATTATATAGAATTCACATCAGGAAACGTTTAGTTTCATCTATGGTTAAGTTATCATACGTTCCGTAACATTTTATTTTACATAAATTTACGTAAATAATTATATTTTGTACTCATTTCAATATTTTTCATGCACACATATATTTAACAATTTAAATGTGATAAATTATAGCATAACAGTGCCTGTTAATGCAGATAACAAATAAATTAGGTTAGGTTCAATTTATGTCACAGAACCGAATTGATTGACCCCGACTCCGCGTGGTACGACTCTGTCCTACCCCTAGAGTGTTTTTATAGAACCGGAGCCGGCCGCTGTAACAGAGGCGAGGACGGATGCCTACGATTTGTTACGCAAGGGCGTAGAGGCTGCATTTCCCGCAGCGCTGAGACGTTTCAGAAAGGATTTTTAAGTTTCGTTCCATTAGTCTGCTAAAGACGGTAAACACTACACATTTTATTTTTAATTTTAATAACTTGTAATGAAAATAATGCAGTAATTTCATATATAAAAACTTTTAAATATATGTGTGCATGAAAACTATTTAAATGAGTACAAAATATAATTATTTACGTAAATTTATATAAAATAAAATGTTCCTGAACGTATGACAACTCGTTGCAGAACGGAGTATTACGTTTCGTTCCACAAGTCGGCTAAAGACGGTGAACACTAAACATTTTAATAGCTTATAGATGAGCACACTTGCCTCTTCGGGCGCAAAATCTTTTGAATGCGCCGATAAACGCTTCAGTTGTTAAGTCCCCAACTAATTCCAAGTGGATAGCTGTAGTGGCCATACATACGAATATACAGATATATGCTTTCTGCGTTTTGCTTCCTCTACCTTTGCTTTTGATAATTTGTAGAGGTCCAGCGAAATCAACGCCAGAGTGTAAAAACGGTCGAGCAGGCGTGACTCTTGGTTTTGGCAGATCACCCATGATTTGAGACCTAGCAGTGACCTTGAATTTGGCACATACAAGACATCGGTAAACAAATTTTTTCACTAATTATTTGACGCGTATTGGTATTGGGATTGGTTGTGGGCTTCGGTTTCCGCATTTAGACTCAGAGTGGTCCTTTATGCGTCGAGGATTGGTTGACTAGGTGAGCCAGCCAAGCTCCTTCCAGAAGCGCAGAAGCCTCCTGGGGCGTTCACAGGCTTCTAGGAGCGACTTTATATCAGGAATGATACTTGCCCGTTGTGTGGCCACTCCCTCGCATTCCAGGACTACGTGGACGGCCGTTTCTTCAGCTTCCAGACATCCCCTGCACAGGGGACTGTCTGTCGCATTGATTATGAATAGTTGTTGGTTCAGGGCTAGATGTCCTGTAATAGTTCCGACGACCATTCTGATTTCCGGTCTGCTAAGACTGATCAGTCTGCAGGTGAGTCGTGGTGTGACTTGATTCAGCACCAGTTTGGACTGTCTGCAGCCGGGTGAGTTTTTTCACCTCCGGTTGTGTGCTTCACAGGTCCGTTGCCTGACCCAGCATCGTATTTGGTTAAACGATATGGGCAGGAGTGGGGTTGGGCCAGAGGTTGGGGTTGCCGAGCCCCTCCTTGCCAACTCATCTGCGGCATCGTTCCCGTGTGAGTTACTGTGCCCTTTAATCCATTGGAGGATTACCCCATTGAATATAGCGAGCTGTTCCAGTGCTTGGTGGCATTCGAAGACAATACCAGAGGTCATTGTTTTGCCCTCCAATGCCTTTAAGACGGCCATGCTGTCGGATATTATTCGGATGTTGTAGTCCTTGATACCCCTTGACATGGCCGTTGTGGCAGCGTAAGTTATTGCCACACATTCACATTGAAATATGGAACTGTGTTGGCCTAACGCTAGTGATATGTTTATATTTAGGTCTTGCGAGAAAACTCCGGCTCCAGTTCCTGACCTAGTCTTGGAACCGTCCGTGTAAATTCGGACTTCGTTAATGCCGGATTGATCTCGGTCATTTCCATGTATCTGGATGTAGTATCTTCTTGTGAAGATATGGTGTTTTGGTATTCAATCGCATGGAGCTGCTATTCCACCAATTGATCCCATAACTTAGAGTGCGATCCCTCACGTTTGTGCCATAGACCCAGGTGTTTGAGTCTAATGATCGCCATAGCGGCCTCCTGCTGTATGAATAGATCCAGGGGTGGCAGCCCAAGAGCCACCTCCAGTGCGGCAGTAGGTGTTGTGCGCATACAGCCAGTGACCGCGGAGCATGAGAGTCGCTGGAATTGCTGCAGTTTGTTTATCACGGTACTTAGCTCTGTTCTCTGCCACCAGACAACAGCACCGTAAGTGAATATTGGTCTTATGACTGTCCTGTATAGCCATAAAGTGATTTTGGGTGATAGTCCCCAGCTTTTGCCGAGTAGCCGCTTGCATTGGCAGAAAATAATGCAGGCTTTATTCAGTTTTTCATCGAGGTGCTTGTTCCACAGGAGTTTACTGTCCAGTATTACTCCTAGGTATTTGACCTCTTTGGTAAGAGTAAGTTGTGTTCCAAATAGCTTGGGAAGTCTGAGATTTCCTAGGCTGCGTTTGTTTGTGAACATGATCATCTCTGTTTTGGATGGGTTCACTGTCAGGTTGTGTGCTACGCACCATTGTTCCACGATCTTCAGTGAAAGTCTCATTTGATCGCATGTGATGCTCTCAAAAGGACCGCTGATGAGAATAGTAAGATCGTCTGCATAGCCTATTGTGAGGAATCTTTGGTCATTAAGATGTGTGATGAGCTCATCCACAACAATTTTACATAGAAGGGGGGAGAGTAGACCGCCCTGGGGGCAGCCTCTAGCCACCACTCCTTAGGTCACTTCGCTCACAGTGAATTGTATAGCTCTATATCTTAGCATGCTGTCGATCCACCCTGAGATTGTGGAATCAACACCATGCCTAGACAGAGCTTGGCTAATGCTGGTGAAGTTGGTCTTGTCAAAGGCTCCCTCGATATCGATAAAGGTGGCCAGTGTTGACCTTTTGTGATTTAGATTGTATTCTATATATGAAACAACTCGATGTAGGGCAGATTCTGTTGATTTACCCATCGAGTTTGCGTGTTGATTGAGGTGTAGAGGGTGACTGACTAACGCAGTTTCCCTGATTTCCCTATCTATTAGCCTCTCGAGAACCTTTAGTAGGAAAGATGTGAGACTGATAGATCGGTGTGATTTGGGTTGTGTGTAGTCACCTTTGCCAGGTTTGGGGATGAAGACTACTTTAACTTCTCTC